TTCTTTGATTTGAATTTGATCAAATCAAATATTCAAATGTCAAATCGAATTGCGGAACCCTACTGTTAATAATAAAGGAATTAGATATATATTATCACATTTTATATTATTTGATTTGGTCTTAATAGTTTTTATAATTCAATCACATTTCTCCTATTTTCCTATATTGACTCTTTTGATCTTACCTCACTTTTTAATTTAATTTTAATGAATACTTTTTAATATTATGCATTCTTTATTTAATATCTCTCATTTTTAGTTTTATACAGAAGGCTCTTTAATTAATATAGGAACCTTCTATTCTAGAATAGGAATAGCCTGGCTACTTATTAATTCAACTATTCCTTCCATTTCTTTTAATGCTACAATAAATGCATTTTCACTTAACGCTCTCTGACTGAGATAACTGCTATAATTGCAGCTATAATTGTAACTCTTACAGGAGCTATTATTAATATTTATACTGATTTTATAGTTACAATCCAAAGTTAACACACTCTGTCAGTTTTCACTAATTAATAATTCTACATTTAAGATTAATTATCATTCTATCTAATATACTTTATTTAGATTAATTGCTATTAAAAAAACTAGATATTAGTTTTACTAAAATATAGGCGTTCTATTAAAATGATAAAAAAGTTATTTGATAAAACTATAAAATATCATTCTTTGAACATGATAAAAGAATTGTTCTGATAGAATGATAATGCATTATTCTAAAGGAATGATAAAAAGAATTGTTCTGATAGAATGATAATGTATTATTCTAAAGAAATAATAGAAAAAATCATTCTAATAAAATAATAATGCATCGTTCTAAAAAAATGATAGAAAAAATTGTTCTGATAAAATAATGATATATTGTTCTGATAGAATAATAAAAAGAATCATTTTAAAGAAACAATTAAATTATCATTCTAAAGAACGATTATTCTTTCATTATTCTGAAAGAATAATATATTATTATTCTTAAGAAATGATTTTATTATTATTTCAAAAAGAATGATTATTCATTTATTGTTTTATTAGAACAATTCTTTCTATTATTCTGATAAAATGATATTTTATCGTTCTATCAAAATAATTCTTCTATTATTTCTTTAGAATAATGCATTATCATTCTATCAGAATGATTTTATTTATCATTCTTTAGAATGATTCTTTTTATTATTTCTTAGAATGATACATTATTATTCTAAACAAACAATTCTATTTATCATTTTAATAAAACAATGTTTTATTATTCTATCAGAATGATTTTTCTATTATTTCTTTAGAATAATATATTATCATTCTATCAGAATAATTTTATTTATCATTTTTTTAGAACAATTCTTTTTATTGTTTTATCAGAATAATTCTTTTATCATACTTTTAGAATATATCAATTTTTTTAAATCAAATTAATATCAGATATATTTTACTAGAGAAAATTAGTTATAATAATATAAAAAAAAAATGTTAAAATCTATTTATTATTTAAGTAAATTAGCTTCCATTAAAATATTCTACATAATAATATGTAGATGATTCTAAAAAAAAAAAATAAAGAAAAGATAAAGCAAAATTAGAAAATTCATCTAAAATTAATCTTTAAATAACTTTTTTTTAAATGTATTCCTAAAAAAAAGTAAGAAATTTACCTAATAATAGTTTCTAATTAATATAACTTTGGTTTATTTCTAAAAGAAAAAAAAAATATAAAGTAAAGCAAGAAAGTTTATTTTAAATAACCTTTAAATAACTTATATATATTATAACTTATTAAAAAATTATATGGCTTTATTAGTTATATAATAAGTATACAAACTTATAAATTTTTAAGATTGATTTTAAACAAAAGATATTTACTAATAAATTATTAAACTATAATTTATCATTTATAATTAAATTAATATTTTTATTTAATTATTAATTTTAATATCTTAAAATCAACTTTAAACTAATAAATTTTTGAAATTCAAAAGGAAGATCATTAAAGAAATAATTCTTAAAAAACCAATTGTAATAATAATCTTTATTGTTATTGATCAAACTTTAATAAAGAAATATGCAATTAATCTTTAAACTATATAACTTAAATAAAACCGATTTTTATAAATTTTTTAAAGAAACTATAATTAATTGGCATTTTAATTTTAAAACAGTGAACATAGTGTAAGCTTTAAGCTTTCTTTACTATTAATAATTATATTTTTCTTAAAACAGAAATTATATGTGCTCCACAAAAAAAAAGAATGAGAACGTAAAATATCACTAGGATATTTGGCAATCATGGATATACTTGAATTTATTTTTTATTAGCATCAAAATGACTTTTCAAACCTTGCCACGCTTTCCAGTAATCTTGTTGAATATGTACTTGGTTAGACATTCCCCATTCAGTTACACCAAGAATTAATGATGATTCAAACATGAATGCTAATTTCATTAATATAAACATAATTTCAGTCACATGTTATTAGAAAGATAGGAAGAATTTTTTTCATATTGCGACATACCCATTGTGCCTTCAGCTACACGAACAGGCTCAAGTTCTTTATTAGATGCTCTTTCAAAAGTTACTGAATCAGGACCGTGTGGTGTCATAATGCTATGGAGGCTACCAAAAAAAATACATTAACAATTATAAATTTTGCGTTAAAATATAAGCAAACATAAAATAATATTTAAAAGATAAGTCCAGTTTATACCTAGCACCACCAGGTAAAAACCCCTCAGCTTTGGCTTCATAAACACCATAAATTAATCCCATAAACTCAGACATACAATTGCGATGGAAGTATGGTGGTCGGAACTTATGAAATTTAAATTTAATATTTTAATTCAAATGAAATTAAACAACTAAATTATTACTTGCTTACAGTATGCTCTTGAACAGCCCATCTAGGTGGGAAAATTACAAAGTCTGCAATGGCAGTACCAGGAAACGCAGACTTCGATGTAAGTACTGTAAATATCGATGGATCCTTTTCGATTCATAGGACATACCGGATAGAAACATAATTCAATTAATTTAAAAGAAAAATAATTTCAAAAATTGCGTATCGTTAAGAACTTACTATGTGATCAAAAGATACAGAATTAATCGTATTAAATTTCTCAAGGTCGTATTTATACGGGACGTAATTTCCATGCCAAGCTACCACATCAAATGGCGAATGATCCTTTACGATGAAATAAATGTAAAACTCCCGCTTTGAAAATATAATATATTATTAAGTGAGTGGAATTAAATTTACCTGCTTGGCAATAAACAGTTGTCCAACATATTTGTTAATTATCGTAAAGTCACATTCTTTATCCTCAAATGAAGCCACTGGTGACATGAAATCGCGTGAGCTTGCCAGACCGTTCGTTCCTGTTAATAATAATTCAAATGATTATTTTTTTACGAAATAATAAGATTATTATTATTATTAACACGTGACTTACCTATTGGACCCAGATCAGGCAATTCAAAGTGATTACCAAAGATTTCAAGAACATATCCGCGGCTTTTAAATAAGTCAAATTTATTTATTTTAAAGTTTTGTAAAATTCATCAAAATAAGAATTAATTTTGGTTACCTAGGACCATCGGGTAAGTTAATTGCATATCGAATTCCGCGTGGGATAACGACAATTTCATTAGGAGAAACCATCAAACGACCAAATTCGGTGGTGATATCAAGTTTTCCATGTTGTGGAACAATTAAAAAATCACCATCAGAATTATAAAAGGCCGTGTTATCCATATTTACATTTGCACAATAAATATGAATTGCTAGGCCATATTTGGTGATTGGATCACCTGCTCCAGCGAGTGTATGTAATCCATGAATAAAATTTATGTTTGTTTTTTCATTTTTTTCATCGGAAAGATTAAAAGGACTCCAGCGAGTTTGATTTGGGAAATAATAAACGTCGCTTATACTGAATTTGCTTGTAATATGATGATCTTTTGGATCGAGTTTTTTAAATGGTTGGTGACAAACTGAGGGACGAATTCGGTAAAGCCAACTGTACAAAGAATGAAATAAGTAAATAGATGGATTGTATCGATCGATCATCGAAAAAATTTTTAATATTAAACCTTCGTTGATTGTTTTTACGGTCTACTGTAAACGCAGTTCCTGAAAGCTGTTCTGCGTAAAGACCATATGAACATTTTTGTGGAGTATTCTGACCTAATAGAAGGAAAATAAATTCAAAATTGATATTTAAAGGAGGCTATTAAAATTAGAATAAAGTTAAAATTGCACCCTTTGGTAATGCATCTTGCAATGCTTCGGAAGTAAAATGATTTCCAAATCCTTCCATATAATCATATGGATCAGCTTTATTGGGCATTTTACTCATTTCATTAAGAATTAAATCGTGTGAAAAATTTCTGTGCTTTTGCTTTATATATATATTTAATAATTAGAATTTAATCGTGAGAAAATTTTTTTGGTGCTTTGCTATATTTATAATGATATGATATATATATAGAAATTCGAATTATATCTCGTGATAAAATATTATATTACTTAACGGATATATAGTACTTTAAATTACATTTTTGGAAATGATCGACGAATGATCGACACATGCGCCACAGACGAAATTTTTACGAATTTACTTAGAGCGGCGGGTTGTTATTTGGCTTAAACGCTTTTTTTTGAAAAAATACGCCACATGTGTGATACTAACAGTTGTTTTATTCTTCGTATTATTGGCTGATTAGATTGGATTTATTATCTAAGGAAAAATAGATGTAATCAATATCATCTCATTGAAACGAAACTGTGGGATAATCAATTATCCCGACTTGTCATAATGTTTTCTTTACAAAGAGTATCTACTCGGATTATTAACAAAAGAACCATATCTGCGGTAATTTATTTACATAATAAACAAATTGAATGCTTAGACATAATAATTCTAATTGATTATAATAGATTCGACCTATTCTTGGTCTTCGTGGTTATGCAACTGCTCAAGACATTTCATCTTTGCTTCTCGTCGAACACAAAAATAAAGCTATTGCAAGTTCTACATTCAATGCGCTCACAGCTGCTTCAAAACTCGGTGGTAATGTGATTGCCCTTGTTGCTGGCGAAGATCCGGATCCTATAGTTTCAGAGGTTTCTAAACTTCAAGGCGTTTCCAAAGTTCTCATAGCAAAAGACAAAGTTTATGAGCACGGAATTGCAGAAGTTTATGCACCTTTACTGGCGTCAACTCAGAAGCAGTTAAAGTTTACGCATTTGGTGGCTCCTCATTCAGCATTTGGTAAAAATATTATGCCTCGTGTCGCAGCGTTATTAGATGTTGCACAAATTTCGGACGTTATTGGTATCGAATCTCCGGACACTTTTATAAGACCAATTTATGCAGGTTTGTTCCTATTTTTACTAAATCGCGTCATGCTAATTAGAAATTAATAATTGAATTTTTTAAAAAAGGAAATGCTATTGCTAAGGTGAAATCAAAAGATCCTATCAAAGTTCTAACTGTCAGAGGAACAGCGTTTCCTCCTGCTACCATAAGTGATCAAACAGGAGCTTCATCTGAGGCGGCACCTGAATCCGAGAAACCTGCTTTGACTGAATGGATTGGCGAAGATCTTCAAAAAAGCGATCGGCCAGAACTTGGAGCAGCAACAAAAGTTGTATCGGGTGGTCGAGCCTTGAAAAGCAGGGAGAATTTCGATAAATTAATTAATAATCTTGCCGATTCAATTGGAGCTGCTAGTAATTATATTTTTAATTTTTGACGATACATAATTCTTCATACTCTTTTACATATATTTACATTATTCTAGTTGGAGGGTCAAGAGCTGCCGTAGATGCAGGATATTGTGATAATGCCTTACAAGTTGGGCAGACAGGAAAAGTCGTTGCGCCAGGTATTGTTTGCATACTTCCAATATTAATTATATAATAAAATCACCAAAATAATTAAAATAATTACTCTTAAATAATATATTTAGAATTTTACTTGGCGGTAGGTATAAGTGGTGCAATACAACACGTTGCTGGAATGAAAGACAGTAAAGTGATAGCGGCAATTAATAGTGATCCGGATGCACCAATTTTTCAGGTATTTTATTTCTCATTAAGCGAACTTATACAACGACTTTCCTAATATATGTTTTACTTTTTAGGTTTCAGATTACGGTCTCGTTGCGGATTTATTTACCGTTGTACCTGAATTGACTGAAAAATTAAAAAAAAAAGAATTAAATTAATATAACTCATAGAAAAATTCTGTAGAAAATATTCAAATAAATATATAACAAACTCTAATTTCAAAGAGTTGTATTTATAGGAAAAAAAAAAATTAACGTTGATTTTTTATGTCTACAAATTCATTTGATATTAAGTATAGTTTATAAAGGTATTAATTTTATTACGCGTCTAAAATAATGAAGTTTAGAATAAATTTAAGGAAAATTAAAAAAACATGAATTGTAATATATACATCTGCGGAAGAAACGAGATTGCGAGTGACGTAAGTAAATAAAAAAAAAAACTACATACATATATAGATATCGTATAACGTTATATTATAATTTTTGATATTTCTAATTTAGAATTAAAAATTTCTCTTTTAAAGTTCTTATTTCTAAAATAAACTTTTAAATAAAATAAAAAATGCTTGATTACACAGAATGGTCTCCAGATAGTTTTAAAATCCTTTTTGATAAAATCCAACAGACAATAAACTTAGCTACTGATAATGTTTTAATGGAACTTAATCCTCGTTTAATTGAATATAAACCATGGTTTCTTTTGTTATTTGACGATCCAAAACCGGACTTGCAAAAGGAATATGCAATTAAGCAAGGTTAGTTTCTATATTTAAAATAAAAACTTATTTTAATACAGCAGCAAAAATTTTAAGCAAAGCTATATTGATGAAGGATAAAATCGATCATATGATATCTCAATTTTCATGAACTGCTTTTAAATTGAATATATGAATTTGTCATCGTCATTGATTACTTTCAAAACAATTTAATAATTTATTAGGTGAACCGGTGGTGATAAAAGGCAAACCATATAGATTTTCACGTACAGAAATCTACGAAATTATCGATATTGCGCATAGTCTCAATATCAGCGAGGATTTTGCGGCTACAATACATCAACATGCAAAGGAACTAAAGTCAAGATATAATAAACCAGTTGCTGAAACGGCAATTAATCTTTATTATGACGAAAAAACTTATATGTTGTTAAGTTTGTTAACTATTTTCAGCAAAGTTTATGATATAGAGGTCAAAGAAAAAGTCAGAGATGCTTTCAAAACATTTATTTATGGTTTATTCAAATCATATGAAAATTTAAATAATGGTCTTTTATATGGTATTAAACTTATGAAATCTATTGAGACTTTAAGATCTCAAATGTTAGATTTGGAAGGACGATATCAACAACTTATCAACAATAGAAATTCTGTCATAACTTCAGAGCAATTTCTTTATTTAAATGAAGGTGCTATTTTACCATCAGTTGATGAGAAAGTTATTTTACAAAGAATGGCCTCAATTACAACACATAGAAAATATCTTGCTTATATTATATGGAAGATGGCCTTTACTTACCTATTTTCAACACAAGAAATTTTGAATTTATGCAAAATGCTCGAAAATCTTGACCTTAATGATAATGTCTATCCTTATTTAATCGCTGCATTATTAGCAATTATTAATACTTCATCAGAGCATTTTCTTAATGATTTATCTGCAAAAGAGAAATTTGAAGATTTAATGAAAGATGTAGATTTTATTAATAACTTTACAGATATTATAAGTAGAGACACATGGAAAGTTAATGCTGCTAAGGCAGCTGGTTTAATAGAGTGGAGCATATTTATAGGAGATGCAATAAAAAAAAATTCTGGTTTAGAAGGAAGTTTGAAAGTTAAATCAGAACATTTAGCAGAAATGTTTCATCGGGCTGTGACTAATGATGCTTTCCAATTTATAACTCATTACCTTCTTTCGTTTCAAAAAACTGAAACGGAATCTATATATATAGAAAACCTTCCAAATGTTGAAAATGTTTGGCATAAATCAAATAATGGCGAAGTGTCTTTCTGTGGTATTATACTTATACCTCCGGGAAAAACACCAAAAACTATCCTCGAACTTGAAAGAGACTTTCAAAATAATCTTCGCAAACAACTTGAACATTTTGTCTTTAAGTTAGTTGGTAAGAACATGAGTTATCTTCAAAAGATTAGAAGACAAGAAGAAGATGCAATTCAGTCGGCCTCAACAGATCCTGTAACTCCTATTACACGTAGATCCTCATCCACTCCTGGTTCGAAACAAAAAAAGACCTCAGAGTCGCGTCATGATATAGAAGCCTTTTTTATTTTAATCGCGACTTTATTTCGTAATATTTCTGATGAAGGACTTAAGTGTTGGGTAGAAACGAAATCATTAATAAATTGGGGGGCAAGTTTTCAAGAAACGGGAATGATGTGTGCTTATTTGGAAATGTTAAGTGCACTTGCTACTGGTCCAGAATGTAGTATACATGCCTATGAATTTCTTTCACGCGCTTCAGAAAGTGGAGGATGGTGTTCTTGGCAAACTTTATTTAAAGCTATGGAAAGCTATAATAATAGTATGGTTGATGAAAAAGTGGAAATTCCTAAAGAAGAAGTGCAACTTTTAATCTCTTTCTTACGCGTTTTCCGGCAAGTTATTAAACACTGTGCTAAAGCTCGACATGAGTTCATAAAGCGTAGTATTTTGAAGCTTCTTTTCAATTTGGTGTCGCAGCATATACCAACTGAATTAAAGGCCGAACTTTATTATGCTATTGCTGCCTTCTGTGTTCCGGATGATAGTTTATTCCTTGAATATACTTCAAAAGTCTGGACAATAATTGAGGAAGAACAAATTGTTCCAACTGTACCAAAAAATATTAAAATAGGAACAACTACGGTGATGGAACAGTCGAATTTTCAAACGCATGATATGTCAGCTATTAGAAAAGAAATAGAGGAGATAGAATCTTCTAAAAAAATTTTCTTTCAAACGTTGGCATTTATTAAGCTTATTAGCACTTTGATCTATGTTCCTGAACAAATCATTGCTTTACGGTGTGGATTTCCAGTTCGTTCAATTACCATACCCAGCCAATTAGGATTGGGTTATCGAATTCCTGGAATCACACCTTATGTCAGTTTTATAATTGACGATATTTTCATAAAAGCACCAACACGAGAATATATATTTAACTCTCAAAAATGGGAAATAATAGCAAGTTCCTTAGAAATAATTGAAAAATGTTTGATTTCTTTTGATTTAACAGGGCAATTATTTGAAAAGCATCATTATTTTAGAATGAATAAAGAGGAAGATGTTACATTCAATAACGATGACGTAGAATATTTAAAAAATCACCCTGGATATAACATTATGAAAAGGCTGATAACTAATTCTCGTCTTATGGAAGTCCTTTTTGAAATTATCGCTACCGGAAAGAATATATTGATTGATAAGTACGAAGCTTCTTCTGACATCATCGAGCCTCTTATACGTTGTTTAAAAATTCTATGGGTTGCGCTGGAAAAGCAAGATAGATTTTTGAAAACCTTGGTTCCACTTGTTAATGGCAGTAATCCAGGATATCTTGAACACGCTTTCCTTTCAAAAAAAGAAATTATTATATCAATTGCATTATTGCTTGATAGTGAAAATGCTGATGTCTGTTTTTACGCGGTTAAAATATTAGCTTGTCTTGCTAAGTCCACAATATTTAATTCCAAAGATAATCTTGGAACCAGTAGAGTTAATAGATTATCGAGTATATTGGAGACTAGTCCGTTTGCAAATGAAATTCTTAATAATTTCGTAAAACGGCTAGAACTTAGGGGAGACGATTATTGGGATTTTAGTGTCGATCAAAGAAACTTTGAACTTATTCAATTGTGCCTTAAACGTATGTCCAAACCTGATGAAGAAGAACATTGCGCAGATTCACTGTCAAAAGAAGAAAATATTTCACTTTCCACAGTTAGTTGTGCTATATTAGACTTAATATTGGAAAATCTTAGGCCTGGTAGAATACAGCCTACTATTTCACATTTTCTTCTAGGTTATGATATTCGTGGATCATTGCAAGTTCCAGTTATCAAATATGTTGCTGATGACTACAGAGAGTCTTGTCTGCATAAAATAATGGAAATCCTTGGTCATCCTATTAATAGGTTTACTGAAAATATCAAGATTAATAATCAACTTGTAAATTATCCTTCACTATCAGCACGTTGTTATCAAATACTCTACAGACTCTGTGTTGATAACAACACTTCGGATGCTACTTTGCTATTTTTACGAAGTCAAAAATTTATTTCAAATCAATTTAGAATAATGCCGTTACATATTCTTCGACCGGATTTGGAACCAAGATGGGATCAAGGAATGATAATAAGACTAGACAAACATACAACTGAGATCGATTGGGTTAGCCTTTGTGCAAATCTTGATGAACGAACTTGGTTGATGAAAATGGTCTCATTAGAATTACGTAAAGCTCAAACTCGTAGTGGTATCCAAAATTTGCTAGCATTAATTTATGGTTCTGAAGTTATCCAATCGAAGGATAATAATGCAATGGATTTAGATTTTAATGGTCCTTCAACTATGAAAATCCTTGACATATTAAATATGTTGGAATTTCATTGGAATGATTCATGGCGAACTCAAGCTCCTCAACGACATTATTTTGGAAACTTTGATATTGAGCCTTGGAAATATCGTAATGAGAGAGGGATCGAATTATATCGTTTGCAAGATGTCTTCTCTGAATTATATCGAATATATGAACATTTCCACAGGAGAGGAACACAAGGAGTTGCATTTGATGATAAAAGTTTACGAAATGAAATGAAACAGATCATAAAGTTTTGTTTTTTCCACAATCGTAATCGCGAATTTGTTTTTGCAAGGAATGAATGTTTTAAAGCTTGGAGAGAAGTTATTGAAATGACAGTTATTAATAAACATTTCGATCTATTAAGATTAGAGGTTCGGGAATCTAAGTTTCATTATATTCTAACGGGATTATTAACAGTTATGAAGAACGAGAACGATATCATTGCAGGAGTTCTTAGTAAGGTTGTTCTCGCTATCATCACCGCATTACGCTTAGATCGCAGACAACAATCAGTTTTATATCTGGCAAACCTTTCAAAGGTTCCATTTGAACGACTTTACTCTATATTTAA